AGCGGGCCTAGGGGATGAGTGCTGGCGGTGCCTGTGAGCAGACGTCCTCTCGTGCACTGCTGCCTTCAAGTAGCTGGAGCTTCGTGTGGAACATTGTGCCTCATGACAAAATTCGCCTGGGACAAGTGATTTTTAACCAGTCCAGTTTTACTCCCTCTCAGTGCTATAGAATCATACAATCATTTAGGTTGGAAAAGACCCTTAGGATGGTAAAGTCCAACCATTAACCTAACATTAAGTCCACCACTAACCTATGTCCCTAAGCACCACTGATGGTTTGCCTGAACACACTAGTCTCTTTAAATCAGTTGTGCTCCTCCTGCCCCCCTGCCATATGGCTTATCATGATCTGAAGTTTGAGGGGTTGGTAGGTAGCCCCTGGTTTTGAAAGCAGGTGTGTGCTTTCTAAAGCACGTAGCCTCTGACCTGCGGCCATTTTTCCTTCTGAGATTCAACAGTGGCAGTTATTTTTCTGCATTACCTCTGTTATGAGTCCTGTTATGCTTGCAAATAGTTGAAGTACTGGGTATTTGTGGCACGGAAGTCTTGCAAGCCTTGGCTCACAACCAGGAACTGGCATACAGAGGCCATTAAGAAGCAGGCTGCAATGGCAAGAGGCAAAAGCCTGACCATCAGACACATATTCACACAGGATGTGACAGAAGATCTATCACTAAGGCATGCTTTGTAGTGTGCAGGGAAGATGGCTGGAATGGCATAGGGCAGAAGAGACCTTGAAGAGTCTGATGAGCTTCCTCTCCCTGGAGGGCATATGAGACATTGTTTAACAGACAAAATTGCAGGCTGCTTGCTTGTCTCTAGTCCTGTGTCTATAAAGTCAAGCAGCTTTTCATTGCTTTCCTAACCATGCAGTTTATTTGCTTCCTTAGTATGTGCATGCTGCAGTTGTGGAGATCCCCTGCGGTTTTACTTTTTTTGTTGTTGTTGTTTGTTTTTGTTTTTCTTTCTCACGGAAGTTCCTGTCTTTAAAAAAAATTCTTATTGATTCTTTTAGACTAGAGAAGAAGACAAAAATCAAGATGGCAAAATGGATCAGCTGCATTTTAAATTGGAACTTCCACTACAACCTACAGAGCATGTAGTTGGTGTTCAGCTGATTCTACTCTTTTCCTACCAGCTTTACGTGAGCATTTTTAGTTTTATTTGTAGTGGTTATGTCAAGGGTGAAAGAATCTTTCCATATTTGAAATTCCTATCTGAAAGATATTCCTATCAAATATTTAACTTTTTTCCTCCTCTGCTGGGTCATTTCTATTCTAGTTCTGTTGCATATTTTGATATGTTTTGTTAGATTTCTTTTTTTTTTTTTTTAAGCTGTGTATTCTCTTGGCCTTTAGTGCAGCAGTAGAGGACAGAGATGTACAACAGTGGATATTGGTGTGGGTGGTATCAAGAAAGAACTGAGTGAGAGTCTTGCAGCAGGCAGAAGTATGCATTCTTACATACGGCTGTGTGTTGACATAACTAGTTAGCTTACTGAGGTGGAGGGGCAGGCTGCTGCATCAGCCTAAAACTCCATAGATTTTGCTTACTTGAAGCAATGGTAATCATCTGCCAGGATCTTCTGTATCTTGTAACTGGGACAGGAAAGAAGATGTTATAGGGAGACAGGAAAATAAAATTCTGCTGCCATTGTAGCTCAAATGGCAATGCTATCAATACCCAAAGCAGTGAGTAAAACACTAGTACACAGAGAACCCATGGATGCATCTGAAAGGAGTGATGATGTAGAGCTGTGTTGGATGCAGCCACACAGACAAGAAGCTGTTTTACTAGAGAGATTAGGCTTAGTTTATCCAAGCGGTTCTTGCTGATTGCAGATGGACAAGCTTAGGAAGCATAGCAGTGTGGTGTAGAAAACATTCTTAAACCTATGAGGCCCAGAGTAAAGGCCTGAGAGTCCTAAATTTGTGCTGAAGTATTAGGTCAGTGATTAGTATCACAGAGAGTTCCAACATTCACAACACCTTTGTTTTACAGTGAATGTGAAAATTTTCTTTCAGATTGAGTGGTTCATAATGAACTTCCTTGTTTGGTCCTTATGGCAGAGCAGGAGTCCTTAGCTGGCTTTCATTGCTGAGTATTTTAAAGTGTGTCTCAAATGAATGTGTTTCGTCATCTTGCTGCTTTTCACATGTTATGAAAAGTCAAATCTTTCTGTCATTAGCCACAGACTGTTGGACTTCATTGAATTTCCTGTGGAACTTTGTTTGGTTTCTAAAGTTAGTTAACTAATAACTAATGTAGTTCACTTAAAAAAAAAAAAAATAGTATTTCTTACTTGATATTCCCTTGTTTAGACCAATGTGATGATTTGAAACATGGGAGTCAGAAAAAAATCTAATCCATGCAGAAAATCTGTAGATACCAAGAGGTAGAAAAATGTGTTGTGTTGTCCTTGAGCACCGTGTCCCTAAATTATCTTTTCTCATGTTCACCATTTCAGAGAATGTCAACACTTGTGATGCAGAGCATGGCTTTTCTTCAGTTTTTTTCTCCTGTGCCAGGATCTCAGCTCTATATGAATGGAGACCTGAAATTGAACCAGAGGCAATTACTTAAGCATTGTGGACTGGATACCAGATACAATGTGAGGAAACTATTTTTCTTCCTCTATCTCTACCCCCTCTATCCTCCTGGTACCATAGATTATACCCCAATTATTTGTACTCTTGCACAGAGTGGACCCTAGAACTTTGGAGCTGGTGTTTTCTTGTTAGGCTGAAAGGTGGAAGAGGTTCTTCTGCCACGATGTTTGGTCTGATGTTTATTCCCTGTGCATTGATTCAAGGGCATGGCTACATTGCATAAGAAACTCTGTAGAATTACTTTCTTGAAGAGCGGACAAATGATGTAAGCATCTCCTTGTAACAGGTGTCTGTGGTCAATGGCACAAGTCCTTTTGCGGATGACTATGATCTAACAAACATCATTGCAGCATATTGGGATAGAAATGGTAAGCCTGAATATATAGCTGTGAATTACAGGACAGCAGTAGTTAGCATATTGACAACTGTTCTGTGAGGATTTGAATTCTCTATTAAGACTGAAAAGCCCCTTAACCTGTATGTTTTCTTTCCCCATTTTAGTGACAACAGTCTTTTTAGATCCCAACCCTGTTTGGATGACTGGAAGAGCAACAGATACACCATTTATCATTAATGCCACTATTCATTACCCAGTGGAAGTTATCTTATATCCTTTGAAAACTGCATAAACTCTGACATTACTAGGATGCGTTATTTGGGCCTTCACGTATAGGCCAAATGAAAACTTTTATTCCAGACTTGTTGCTGAACTTTTCCTTTGTTAGCAAAGCAAATGCTATATTCTGGATTTAACTGAAGACCTATTTGCCCCTTTGTCCAGATGGTTCTGCTTGAATAACCACTGTTTGACTTTCTCTACTGGGAACTTGTGTTGCTTTTCAGCCTTAATGAACTGGCCTTTAAGGCAGTGTCTTAGCCATTCACAGTGAATATCCTTAGTAAGTCTTGCTTTGGTCCTGCAGCACCTACTGTCCCAATCTGTCATGGATGCCACTAGCAAAGCATAATTGTAGAATGGTTTGGGTTGGAAGGGACCTTAAAGATCATCCAGTTCCAACCCCCCTGCCATCAGCAGGGACACCTTCCACTAGACCAGGTTGCTCAAAGCCTCATCCAACCTGGCTTTGAAAACCTCCAGGGAGGAGGCATCCACAAGTTCTCTGGGCAACTTGGGCCAGTGTTTCTGACCATCCTCACAGTAAAGACTTTCTTCCTAATGTCTAATCTAAACCTGCCCTCTTTCAGTTTAAAGCCATTACCCCTTGTTCTATCATTAAACTGCCCTTGTAAAAAGTCCCTCCCCAGCTTTCTTGTAGGCCCCCTTCAGGTCTTGGAAGGCAGCTGTAAGATCTCCCTGAAGCCTTCTCTTCTCCATGCTGAACAGCCCCAACTCTCTCAGCCTGTCCTCGTAGGAGAGGTGCTCCAGCCCTCGCATCATCTTCATGGCCCTCCTCTGGACTCGTTTTAACAGGTCCATGTCTCTCTTGTGTTGGGGGCTCCAGAACTGGACACAGCACTCCAGGTGGGGCCTTACAAGAGTGGAGTAGAGGGGCAGAATCCCCTCCCTCCACCTGCTGCCCATGCTGCTCTGGGTGCAGCCCAGGATACGGTTATCGGCCTTCTGGGCTGCAAGCGCACATTGCTGGCTCATGTTGAGCTTCTCATCCACCACCACTCCCAAGTCCATCTCTTCAGAGCTGGCCTCAATCCATTCATCGCCCAGCCTGTATTTATGTTTTCAATTGCCCCGACTCAGGTGCAGGACCTTGCGTTTGGCCTGGTTGAACTTCATGAGGTTAGCACAGGCCCACCTCTCAAGCCTGTCAAGGTCCCTTTGGATGGAACGATACTGTGTTCTGTGACCTAAAGCAAATCATTAGAAATTTGTATGCAAGGTAAACTCACCAAATAATAACCCTCACAGAATTCGTTAATGCTCCTTGACTTTCTTTAAGTATCAGCCCGGATTTTGGGAAGTGATTAAATTTGCCTGGATCCAGTATGTCAGCATTCTCCTTATCTTTCTTTGGGTGTTTGGTAGGATTAAAATGTTTGTGTTCCAGAATCAGTTGTTGACTACAACTCCAATATCGCCTGTTCTGCCGGTGTCTCCAGTACTGTCCTACAAACAGCACCAGTCCTGAGGAGATGCCTGGGAACACTTTAAAGAAATGAAGTTCAAAAATAGATACCTGTTTTTATTCTCTATACGCTTTTTACTTTGGAAGATCAGAACTTTGTAAGTATGTTCTGTTTGTGCTTCCTTTTTAAAAATACCTGTTCATTCAGGTGTTTCTCTGGGAACACTCCTTTGGGACTGAAAATTTTAGTATTTTTGACAGTTAAAGAAGAACCTAGTTATTTTTTTGCAACCAGAACATGCTTCAAAACCCAGTAGAAAGCAATGAGACTGCTTTTGCATTATATTAATTTGCTAAACCTTGAAGACTGAAAATAATATGCTAACAGTAACAGCATAAGCCATTTTAACTGTCTTGTAAATAAATTCACTGCTGAGTTAGAGTTCTGTCAAGAGCTATTTGTACATGCATTTATGTGCACTATGAAAGGAAAAAATATAGGGAATGTGGAAAAATGTATGGATGAGTTACAGTCAGAGCCACGCTTCTGTAACTGTGTATGTGCTCACAGATGTAGTTACTAAATTGGATGATGGATAAATTCAAGGTGGATGTTAGAAACTGGGCTGTGGGTGTCTGCAAGGTTTGCGCAGTCATTTACTGTTGGCATTATTACTGTAGCACTAGACCATTAATTGTGAATTGGGAATAGTATAACAGAGAAGCCTGTTATTTATTTAAAGAAAACTAACAAAGAAACTACCAGAGAGGCTTCAGAGTCCCAAACCAAGTGAATAGTTACTTTCAGAACTTAAATGATAACTTAGAACAGATGAAAATTAAATCAATTCTAATAACCTGGTGAGAACTAAAGGACTGTATGTCACTTATTCTTGGTGGAGGTTGTGGTGATAGGGAAGATTATTTAATTTTATTGTCTCTTTCTGGGCTTACTTTTTATGCCAGACAAGCTTAAAAGGGGAAAAAAACCAAAATTTCCAATGTGTTTTCAGTTTTGTAGTTAAGATTTAATTCTAGCAAAGTAGTGTCATGGCAGGAGAGAGTCTGAAACAATTCTAGATGCTAGTTAACAAAATTCTGAATGTCTTTCGTTCTCTTGAACTCTTAAGATATGGTGCAGCTAGGAAATGTGAAAGAGCAACTTGTACAGCAGTACCCCATCTTTTGGCCATTATCCTCTAGAATTCAACATCCTGGCAGTTTGGAGACCTGCCTATTGCTTTTTCTTTTCCCCTTTTTAAAGCAGACAGCTTCTTTTTGAACTTCTGTTTAAGCTTATTTTAAACTTTATAGTTTTGTAGCTTGCATTTCTTACAACTTTTACACAATGGATGGACTCCAGCTTATTCTTCAATGCAAGTGAAACGTTAATGCGGGGAGCTATGCTTTGTTATTAAACACACTTTTGTGCTTGTGAAACCTATTTACTTATATGTGAATTGTAAATTATTGCAAGGAGTGTTTGCTGTATGTACATATATATATTTTGGTTTGAAATCTCTAGTTTGCTCTTTGAAGTTTGTACCTGGCAGCCTAGGTCTACTGATAATTGGCTTCATATCAGAGTGCACAGAGTCAAAGCAACTGTCTACCGCTTTTTAGCGTTTCTAGGCACTACACAAGATGAATGAAAGGGCCTGTGAGCATGTTACCCCAATATCTCAAGCTGATGTACATCTGGCCTGCTGTAGTCCCATCTCTTCTCCCTTGCAGTGGGGATAGTGCTTGTGTGACTGCATGAGTTAATTCAGGGAGTTCATTATCATGAAGATCATCTTTACCAAATATATTCACTTCTTCAGACAAGTAATTTTCCTGAATGAACTTGATTATACGTCTATACAAGCATTAGGGCGGGCATAAGCAAGGGATAGAAATCTCTGGAGAGACCATAGAACCCCATTTTGAGAGTTTGAGCTGTTTTACTCCCACAAAGATTGAATGCGTAACAGTCCTCCAAGTTGAACAGAAGCCTGTTTAAGGTAGCAACTGGAATGTGAAAGAGGATGATGCTAGAAAACAACAGTAATACTGAGAGACTCTATTATCCCTACCGCACTTTTTTCTCCTATTGTATCCTTCCACATGAAGTTATAACAAATAACGCTGCTCAGAGCAGCAGTTCAGTGAATGCATGTGAGATAAGAAATGGTGAATACGTCTGGTTCATGAAATACAGATAAAAGTATCCTTATGTTCTATTTTCCTTTAGAAGCGGAAAGCTGGAAAAAATCCTCTACAGTAATTTAAGAGCACTTAGGTTGGGCTATTGGCCCTAAAAAGAAATTGTCAAACATTGGAACAGGCTTACCAGGGGAGTGGTTGAGTCACCATCCCTGGAGGTTTTTAAAAAATGTGTAGATGCCGTGCTTAGGGACATGGTTTAGAGGTGGAATTGGCAGTGTTGGGTTAACAGTTGGACTCAGTGGTCTTAAAGGTCTTTTCTAACCAAAATGATTCTATGATTCTAAGAGGAGAACTACTTAAATTAAAAGGAAGAAATAAAAAAGAGTTAATTGCTTGCAGGTGGCTTGTAACTGTTTAGTATGACTGGAAGCAATCCCTCTCTTTTGAAAGAGGTGTGTTTCATGACTGGGACTAGTAAGTGAATGCAGTGTAAAAGGGGCAGTAAAGGCAGATGTGACTACAGTAAGGAAAAAATCCTATTTGTGGTACCTCTGCTGTGGTTACTTCCTGGATCACTTTTCTACTGACCATAGTTCCTGGTTCATAGTTCTGGCTCCTTTTTCAAGCTTGGAGAGGCATTCTACCACTTTTAGTAACCAAGCAATGAAAAAAAAAAAAAGGTAGGTAAGATTTTACAGCTGTAGCAATAAACTGAAGAACAAGGAAAATACCTAACTGAGAATCCATTGCAACTAACATTAAATAAGCTTTAGGAAAGAGGAGTCTTTCTCTAAGGTTTTTTTTCCTTTAGCTTGCTAAGCAACATAAAGACAAATAAAAAAGATCACTGCTAGCCACCGCAGTGCTACTACACCGGTCTTCTGTGTACACATATGCCAGAGAGCAGTCTAAATGCTATTCATTGAGGAAGGACACGGAAGCATGTTAGGATTAATCAGATTTCTGTCAGAGGCTCTGTAAGAGGAAACAGTAAGTATCTGATTAAAAGTCCTGTGCGTAAGTAAAAGTGGGAATGTGGACGTGTAAGAGCCATGCTTCAGGAGTTTCTTAAGAGGTACTGCTAGGATGAAAGAAACCATGTCTGCTTGTTTCTTAACGAGCCAAACAGTCTGTTCGTGGGGGTAGGACTTCTTAGTTCTCACAGGCGGTAGGCAGGATGCCCCGCGCGGTCCTGTTCGGCTGCTGCTGAGGTGGGGGCGGGCCGTGGGGCCGGGCGGAGCGGGAGGAGACGGGGGCGGCGCGGCGGACGGTTTCGACC